TTTGTTTTATCTATTGCATAAAAATTCTCTAAGATTAGTTCATTTAATATTTGCATTTACAGAGGACAAAACTAACCTAGAGCTGAAGTAACTCATTAAGGAGTAGAACAGCAACAAAGAGACGTGGCTGGTGGTCAAACTGTGGCATGCTATAGTCCACACTTTTAACATCTGTGACTTAAGCCCCGTTTCATTTTAGTCATATTCCTAACACATCTGTTGAATACATTAGTGTAAAACTAAAAAAAATTTTTTATGAACCACCCAGTTTTATACTTATAAATAGAAAAATGCAAGGTAAAGCATTAAAGTACCCGTTTAACTTATGAAGTTAGAAATACAATATGTGGGTTAAGATTCTGCGACAGGTAAGTTGAATTGATAGAAGCTTGAGAAGTATAACTCTCAAGAGCACTCACTGTAGGGCCAGACTGCCTGGGTAAAGAGTTCTACTTCTGTCACTTGCAAGTAAATAACCTTAAGCAGATTACTTAACTGCTCAAGGCCTCATTGGTAAAAAGGTAAAAACTCTGTGAATATAAAAAGTTTAGTCATATAAATCAGACAACAATACCTGGCACATGAGAAGCTAGCCATCATTCCAACTTTTCTGAACTAGGATTCAGTAACATGTGTTGACCATGTTCAGCTCAGTAATTCCAGTCACAAATGAGTTCAGATGTTTTGCACCTAAACTCACAGTTGCAGTCTGTGTAACAGAAACTTTAGGTACTATGAAGTATCATACGGCCCATAGAAATATTTTAAAAAATATTTAGCATAAAAATTTAAGTGCAGTAAGAAACTTTTAAAAAAGCATTTAAATGATACAGAATGTTAATTTTACTATAAGCACATGAAATTTTACACAAGCATATGAAAGATTAAATAGAAATATATCAAAATGTTAATATTGTTTTGTTTCCAACTAGTAGAATTACAGGTGATTTTTACTTGTATATATTTACCAAGTTTTCGATCATGAATTTGCATCACTTTTTATAATCAGAAAAGGTACTATAATAATTCTTTGTTTTGAATACTACAATAGAATACTTTTCACCATACTGACAGAATAATACTAATTGCAATTCATGTTTTATCTCTGATTTGTTCTTATTAGTAAATACACTTAGTTTTGGACTGATTTTACAATAGATAAAGAACTACAAAATATCCAGTAGCTTGCATATCAAATCTAACTAATCTGCCAAAAAGATGGTCCATACAATCTTGAATGTAAATAACAAAAAGCCACCTCTAAGTTCTCCCAATTCAAAGAAAACAATATAAAATTACTACTTTTTCCGGCCTTAATTATGTAGACTTCAGGAACTACAGAAACATTTTCTAGTTAGCAATGTCTTAAAAAATGATACACAAATTAAGCTTTCCTTTTGTATCAATTCAATATTGGTACAAATTATTTCCCAGGCTCTTCTGAAATGCTACTTAAGCAGATAATGCAAAATAAAAACTTTACTCATAAAAAACATTCCTTCTCCTTTGAAACTTATAAAACTAAGGATGTACTACTAATAACTATTAACATACCTGGCTATCCCAGAACTATTACAATAGGTCTAAAACTGTAAACAACACTCTCAAGAATCTGTTACATCCTATTTTTCTGTAGGGAAAGAGAATGAAAAATATTAATTCTCTGTTCTCCTCTAGGATAGCTCCAGGTAGCTCTATGAAGCAATTATCTTTTATAAGAAAAAGTTTCTGAGGCTCAAAGCTGTTCCCCAACTGTATTTACAACACAGTAGGCAAATACTACTGTAGCTAGAAGAAAAATCAATTGATTTTCCTTATTCTTTGTGCTATTAAGCACAACACAAGTGATCTTAAAACTCACTTTCACTAATGTCAGTGTCTGAGTTCCACCTAAAACCTACACATCATCATATATGCTACATGCTACACTAGTGGAGCTCACCCAGAGTTAGGGTAGATCTGACATTCAGAGAGTCATTCTTGTCACATTGAAAGGGCTTCATAAAGAAGTAAAATTATTTCCAGGACCTCAAAGTAGAAGTCTTAAGAAACAACAACAACAAAAAAACACACTCTAGAGATAAATCACTTTCATATGTCTCCTAAACTCTGATAGTGTAGCCAACATGCAGAAGATGACACTTTCATTCAAATACTACCCCCTCCAATTCCAACCAAGCCTGTCAAACCCTCAGAGACAAAAACCTGGAGAATACCTAGAGGGGGAATGTTCAAAGGTAAGAAAAAATTTTACAGCAATTATTCCTACAAAGTGGAACAAAAGCTCAGGAGTGCAATACAGCAAGGAAGAAACTTCTCACAGAGAAATTATTAGTCCAATTCCATCTGATTTCCAGGGGTTGGTTTTACTATGGTCTGCTTCCTAAAAGAAGGCTTTGCTGTGGTTTTGTTGTGGCCTTTGTTGTGACTTTGTAGACACACATACACATATTAATTAAAAATCATCAACAAAAAGATACAAAATGAGATATTTTGTGTAAAACAGGAAAGTCTATACAAATTGAAATAAACTTTTCATCTACCAGCAGCCCGGTATAACCTTAACTTCTGTGAACAATGAGAAGTAATAACTGGTTAATCTGACTTAAGATACTCAAACACTAAAAATAATCTGCTTTTACTGATGGAACTTTATTTGGAGTAGTACGTATTTATAAAATATTCTGTATGTTTACTTACTACCCTTTTGCAGTGAAAACAATCTCAAACATTTTTATATTTTTTACATATCAATTTTGTAAAATAAATCTAAAATGAGTACTCTGACTTTTCATTAAACCACAATTCCTCATTAAACCAAAATTATAGTAACTATCCAAATGGTATATGTAAGATAAAGTTTTAAGTATGTATACATAACCATAAATAGTATTTTTCTTTATGAAATACTACTCACAGCTTTTGACTAGCAACCCATGCAACCTATAGTTATGTACAAGACTGCTAATCTGAAAGAAACTTTGGAGGTCTCAAAGTACTCAGACACTTAGCAAAGGATAAATATATCAATAAAATGTATCACTGAGGTATATATCTTTAATGAAGGCCCATGCAACTGTAAGTTTTAACACTTATATGTTAAAAATTATTTTATTATTATTTTAATGGAAACCGGTAAATGATGTATTTGTGAAACAATAATGAAAAACTTTTAAGAATTAACAATTATTAACCACTAAAATACCAAACCCTAGAGATTTGACTTCATTGAGGATTTCAGAAAAGTTACAGAGCAACAAGTTAGTCAAAAAAGATCCTAATTAGTTTAAAAAATAATGTTACTATGGACAGCAAAGAGTTTCAGTACTGTGTTGACTTTTCACGTAATATTCCAGGAAGTCTTCTTCTAAGAGAGTAAGCTCTCTCCTGCTTCTCACCCTCAAAAATACTAGATCCGGAAAGTAGTTTTTCAAGCTATGGTTGATAAATCCATAACCCGTGCAGTAGTGATTAGCACAAGGTTCTGTATTACTTGAACCAGTGAAGGAATGGGAAAAAAAAAACAGGTAAGAGATGTCAAACCTTAAGATATCAGAGTTAATCCATATTTTAGCCAAAAACGTGAATTACAAGTCAAGACTTCAAAAATAAGAAGCCTAACAAAACATTTCCTAGAAAACTTGTTTTCCTAGAAAACGTTATAAAATTTTAAGTAAATCTAATTCTGCTAAGAAATGGTCAGACAATAAGTAATTGTGAGCTGATTTAGTAGGAAAACTGACATTACAAATTCTTAAATCCAGCTCTTTGCCCAATTATAAAGAAAAACATACTTAGGAACTTCCTTAGTGCTCTTGTCAACATTTCTCACTTTTCTAATATCGTTTTTCACATTGACTTTGAAAAAAAAATTTCTAAGAGAAAAAAAATTCAAACACTCAAATCTCATTTAATTAGTATCAAAAACAAACCGGAAGTTTCCGCACATTAACAGCAACACACTCCTTAAAATTTCACGAAAAAAAATTTCACAATTATGTATTTGGGTGTATTTTTCAAATTGTAAGACTTCAAATAGAGTCTCACGTTCTCTAGGACTAAATTACTTACTCAATGGGAGACAATTTTACTTTTTCCAGAAAAAAATATACTTAAGAAAATGAATATAAATCCCCTTCCCCTGCCGCGTGATGTATTAGTCTAAGAAGGGAAACCACCATTCTTCTCTAGTTTTACTCTAAAACTGCTTGCAAATTGCTATTCTATCTTGCCTTACTACCTACCACTACAGCGACGTGAGCAAGCACGTCCAGTTTTTCCCTGTTACAACAGTGCACTTTAATTGCTTGCCACTGGCCATCTGAATCAGGTCCGGCATGCAAAGTTATACCCCACATACTGAACACCGCAAGCCTGTATAACTCAATGTAATGCCAAAAAGAAAGTTTCTAGCAGTGTGTCTGCTGTCACTAGAGCCAACCGGGTAAAAGCAACTCTGCGTGCCGACTGTTGTTCCTGCCCCCGTCCCCAGCTCTGCTGAGAATGGCCAGGCGACTCCGGAGCAAGAGTTTGTAAAGTGCTCAGCAGGCTGCTGGGATGAAAGGAGCTCCGCACACGCCCGGGTTCGCACAGTGCCACCGACACCGCGCCGGGGACAGAGCCTGGCGGTGTGCTCCCCGCGGAGGAGCAGGTGGACGGGCACAGTCCCTCGCCCCCTCCGGAGCGGGGATGAGTGAGGTTTTAACCCTGTGTGGAAAGTTCCACGCACGCCCCACGCGCGGCGGGGCTGCGGCTCCTTTCTGCAGCGCCGAGGCCGGGCCTCCCGCTGGCCGTGGGGCGCGCGACAGCCGTAGGCGGCGGTGGGAGGCCCGTCGCGGGGCCAGGGACTCCGACGCGGACAAGGCCGGGCCGGGGGGCTCGCGCCCCGCAGCCGGCGCTGGGGGAGGGGCGGCGCCGCGGCCTGTTGGGGGGCTCGGCTCCGGCCTCGCGTGCGGCGCTTGGCCGCGGCCCCGAGTCCGGGGCGCCGGGGCGGGACTCACCGGAAAGGCCCGGATCCGCATCTTGGTGTCCTTCCGGCTGCCCGTGCCTTTGCTCAGATTCGACATGGTGCTCGTCCCCTCCCCGGCGGCGGCTGCGGGTCGCACTCCGAGGCGCCGGTGTCACATTTAAGGCGGGCGGCGGGCAAGGGGCTACGCTGGGGGCGGCGGCGGCCCCCGGCCGAACTGAAGAGCGGGCCGGGCCCTGGGCGCCGCGGCGGCAGCTCGGGCTCCGGCGGCTCGGACGCGGTTGAGGGCTGCGCTAGCGCAGCGGCTCCGCGGGGGTCCCTCTCACGCCCGACTCGGCTTCCTTTATCGCGTTCCTCCGCGATGGCGGCGGCGGCGGCGACGGACAAACATCTCACTGCGCAGGCCGAACGTCCTCCTCCTCCTTCTCCTCCTCCGCCTCAGCGAGACGAGATCCGGCCCAGAGGGTGGAGGGGGGAGGAGGGAGGGAGGAGAGCCGGATAGTGGAGAGATTGGGGGAGGGGGTGGGAGGACGGAGGGGAGGCGGGCAGCCTCGGCGGGGCGCTCGGATCTCGCGAGAAGAGAGCGAGCGCGCTGCCCCGGGCGGGGCGGGGCGAAACCGGAGAGCGGGAGGGCGCCAAGACAGGAGAGGAGGGGGAGAGAGTTGGGGAGGGGGTGGGGCCAGTAGGACGAGAGGCGGGAAAGGGGCGGGGTCGAGGAGTCAGCTGCCTTTTTGAAAGAGGAACGTCGGAGGGCGGGTTCTGGCCAAGGTGGTCCCTGATTGGTGGAGCGCGAAGCGGGTGTTGGGGGTCCTGATCACGTGATCGATGGGCGGGGTGAATTCGGAGAGCCGGACCTGGATTGCGCTGCTGAGCTGGCCTCGTTTGGTCGGGTGAGACTGAGCGTGGGGTGCGAGAAGACTAACTACGTACTACAACTGGTTCCTGTTTTTCTAGGGCACGTGGACTAGGGGTGGGTACTTGCGCGGAAGCCAGAAACTTCAGAGTTGAGTTTGTGCAGGACTCACCTGCAGTGTCGGGAATTAGTGTCCGGTATGCTTACCAAGGTATTGCACAGCTTCGCTCTCAAGTCCGAGCGGTGAACGCGTTACTCTACGAAGTTCCCTTAAACTGCGGAAACTTCAAGTCCTCTTGATTCACTTACTATTGTAGGGAATACCCGAGGCTTGTTAATGTTAAAACCTGTTTTTTTTTTCATTGAAATAATAGGACAACTCCCCTAATGTACAACGTTTTAAAATTTTTAGAAGAAAACTATAACAAATATACAATTAATTTAGAATTTATTGTTTTTGGGGTGTTTTCATTTTGTCATTGTGTGTCTAGCTTAACTCTGTTTTACTGTCATTTATTATGTCCTTCCTGGTGTACCAACTAGATCGATTCCTTAATCGTGTTATTAAAACTTATAGGCCTTCAGTCCCTACTTGAGTTTTCCCATTGGAAAAAAAATACATATTTGGTATTTGCTAATCAGAAGGTAAGGAGGGTAAGAAAGATATTCTAAGAATATCTGTAAATATTGATGCTCAAATAGATCTTCAAAAATGTGTCCATAAGGTAAAATTAGGAACTCTGACTTCAAAGTGACACTTGAATAGTTTACAATCTGTAAGCTAATTAAACCTCTGTTTCCATAATCAATAGAATATAAGAACTTTTTTTTCTGGTTGTCCTATCCTATAGCCCAGTTTCTTTGTAACATCAGTATATATTCTAGAGCCATTGGTTGGAGTCTCAACATTGCCACATCACTGGCTGTGTCATACATCCTTTGGGGAAAAGACTTGCACGTCTGTGCCTAGAGTTCCTTATCTGTACAATGGTGACAATACTTTCTCTTAGACAGTATGAAATTTAAATGAGTAAGTACTATTTAAAAACCCTCAGAGCAGGGCTCAACCTCTCAACACTTGTTGGATCCTATTTCCCATATTCAGTATACAGGTTTCTACAAGAAGTACTTACAAGTTTTTATACATTAAATCGTCTGTTAAGACAAAGCCAGTCGCTAACTTGAATTTTATTTTTTTATTTAAAAGAAAACAAAAAAGGGTAGAAATAATACAGTATTTCAGAAAAATGAACAGTAAGAAATCACTAGTTGATAAGTTACGTATTGTCCTCTTAGAAATAGTTGTTCAAGTAACTAAAGATACAAAGTGATATTGAATTTTATTTTTTTAAAAAATAGTTTTCAATAAACTGAGAAGTCAGTACAGGGTGGGCATTTGTATTTTGGCCAATAAACACATTGAAAAGGCACAACCATCAAAGACTATCCCTATCATTTTATTAAAGAGCGAGTATTTTAATTTCAGAATTGGGTGATGGTTAATTTTTTATTAAAGAAGAGTTCTTTAATTTAGTCATATGAAGCAATTCATTGTACTGGTTTTTCTCATTTCATTATGAACTTCGGGAAAATACCATGGATCAGCGTTTAAGAGCCCACCATAATAAAGTGCATTTCTGTTTAATTAAAAAATCAGTATAATCACACTTGATTTTTTTGTGATCCCAGATTTTTCTTGTGTTATTTAAGCAAAATTTAACTGCATTTAAAAGAATAGCAATCAACTGGTTTTTTTCCCCTTTGGTTTTTAGCCATCAAGAACTAGAATACTGCTTCAAAATGAATTTGTAATTTAAAAAATCTCTTGAGTGGAGGATGTAGCATAAAAGTATAATTCTTCCCTAGGAATAGGAACATGGAATAATAAACCTGTTCAATAATGTATTAATTTATTTAAGAAAGTTATTAAATGGCTACAATACATGAGGGGCACTAGGGTGAAGACCTGCCACTGTGGAACAAATAGAACTTTTACACTTCTTAACATTTGGAAAACACAGAACCAAAGTAGATTTAGCAATGACTTTTTATGTACCTCAGTCCAGAAATCAAAGATTTTTCTTTTCTAGGGAAACAGCATCCTCAAGATGTGTATAAAATACACTCAAAGCAGCAGTAGACTATTCTCTCACTTGTGAATAGCAAATGAGCTTTTAGGGTGTTAGCTTTTTCTGCAGCCACCTGATCTAGCAGAAAAGCAGTGCTGGAATAGGAACTCACTAGATCTCACATGCCTGTGTGGTATTCCCACTCATGCTGACACTGTCCTGACACAGGAAAATGGGCCCCATTTCTACTTATCCATATGGAGCACATGCTGCTGACGGGTCAGATGGCTCAGTGATCAGCCTTGTGCACAACACATTCTGGTCTGTAAAAGAGCACTATGGGGTATGAGGAATCCATAAAAGCTAGTATCAACCTCTAATTGTCTTTAGTTTCTAGGTATCCAAGATATGCTTGTACTTTTATCACTGTTTCAGACCTGGTGATTTGATTTTTAAAGATATTGGTTAATTAGGTCAGTGATTTTGAATAGATCAAGACTGTATTAGGAAGAAATATATGGTTTTCAGACAAACATGGAAGACAAAGATGTAGAGGTATTACTGATTTCTTGAGAGGAGGGACTGGATCTTCTACTTTCTTTGTCCCCACCATGTATAGGGTAGTATATGGTACATTTCAAGATGCCATGGATGTGAAGGGAGGCCACTAAGAGCATCACCATAAACACCTAACTTCATGAAAACTCTGGGTCTTTCCTGTTTACCTTTTCTACTTTGTCCTTGCCATTTTCATTATATCATTGAAATAAGCATATGAAACATGTGAGCGTGTCAGACATGATACATCTTGAACTAAAGAAAAATCTTCAGTGCCTGATTATATCATAAGAAACCCATTTCAGTGTTTCATCACACAGGAAGTAAAATCAGCTCACTGACAACTCTGGGAACTTTCCAGTTGACTTAGTGTTTTGTTTATCCAAGATTTACTCAGTAAATCATTATTTTGGAAATAAAAGTGCGTATATAACCAACTAACAAGAGAATATAAATCCTTGTTGGGGTCTATGCCTAGATCCCCAGTCTCCTAAATGGGTGCACAGTAAACGCCCAAATGAATGAGACAAGTGGCATGATCTTTAGGACTCCAAGAGGACCAAAATCCTCCACAGAGCTTATAATTCTGATAACTGAGACAGATAGACTGTCTCTGGGCACTCATATTGACAAGAACAGGGAAAATGCAGGAAACCTGAGCAGGATCTCATGAGAGGTTCAAAGACCCCACACAGCGACAGATGATGCTAATCAAGGAAAATTATCCTAGGAGAACGTCTCCAGGCTGCCTCAGCTGTGGTCTATCTGGCCCCTTGAGGCATCCTGGTTCTCTGTTCAGCCATGCCCAGGCCATGCCACAGCCCTGCATATGTATTCAGCTTCAATGGCTCCAACAAATTCTCAATAAAAAAGATAGTCATTGTGTCCATGTAGTTATATTTCAAAGGAAAATAATCTTCTGTTGCTGACAGTGTTATAATAGTAGCAATATCAAGAAACCTCCAGGAGACAATTATGAATATGTTCTGTTTTCATTCAGGACAAGTATATGTTGAAATTTATAACTTATCAGGTCTGTCATTTTGAATTAAGTGAATTTTGAACCTGGGATAAAGCATAGAACCATATAAGTAAATACTCTAAATCTTACGATAAATTTAGTAATTGTATGAATTATGATATTTGCCATGAGCAAATGTAATAGCAATAACCTTAAATTTTTTCAATAAGTTATTTGCCTTGAGATCATAATGAAACCTTATTCTTAATTCTTATAAATTGGAAGAAACCAAAATCTGAGACAGTGAAAAGAAATCTAAAAAAAGAGAATAGCTTTTAAGAGACTAAAAGTCATAAAAATTCTTGAGGTCTATTTCTAGCCCCAAATAGATATAATGAAGTAATTTCTAGAGATAAGTTGGTTCTAAGTCATTGGTCTCGGAATCCTCTAATTCTTGCTCCTTCTGGTTATTCAGTAAAGGACTCACTGAATAGGGCAGTCTAACAGTAACAGATTGACACTTTATTCAGGTGAAACTGGCCACTTTACATTTAACTAAGTTAAAAACACTTTGCATAACTTAGACGGCCTCATTTATGAGACTGTTAGACATGGTACTTCTGTTACTGATTGCTGAAAGTTACTGAAATGCTCATTGACAAGTGCTGTTGTCTACATGAACATTTCTTTTTTAAAGCAACTATTCTGGATTCTTAAAGCAGTTTCACTTTCTTTTATTATTTATTATAGTGGTATTGTTTTTGAAGAGAGAAGTGTGTGTTGTGTGCGTGCGTGTGTGTGTGTGTGTGTGTGTGTGTGTGTGTGTGTGCGCGCGTGCGTGTGTGTTGAGATGAGATCTCAATATACAGTTCAGCCTGACCTTGACCTTTGTAGTCCAGACTGGCCTCAAACGCTTAGGCACAACCTTCTAAATCTGGGATTACAGGCAAGCACCAGCATGCTCAGACTTTAAAGAGATCAATCATTTGGTATGGTCTTGCAGGTCTCCATTGTGGTCTCCATTTCCAACCTATACAGCCAAAGGGGCCTGATCTTCCCTCTCTACTCCCCGGTTCACATTGCGAGGAGATAGAATGAAGACACAAGCAACCCAGTCCTGTTCCAGAAATGTGACTTCATTAAGTACCCAAGGTCCCAGGCTAGGGCATTTGGGGACAGTGACAGTAGATGGCCCAGGCTGTTCCCACTTAAAGACTTCCCCTGTTACTGGTATTGCTCAGACTTCCCATTCTCCTCTGGTTCCTTCTTGTTTTCCAGCCCCAATCTTTCCACATCCCCTTGTTTCTGGGACTCCCAATGTACCTCCCTAAAATTTCATTTTTGGTTAAGATAGTTTTTCTCTATACCTGTCAAGGGTCCTGACCAGAAACAGATGGCTCATCGTAGCAGGGAATGTGAAACCCATTGAATTAAGGGACTGTTTCCAGAGTGTGGGCAGAGTTAGGGATTGATGGGGATGGTGAGGCATCTCACAACTAGAAGTAGCAGGAAACCCAACATCACACCTA